GCCGTCCTGGGGGTGGATTGGAGGGAGGGGGTTGGGGGGGGGAGGATAGCCTCCTCCCTGCTGCCACTCCAACTGGCTTTGGTCAGAGCAGCAGCAGGGAGGAGGTGTCTTCCCCCCCCACCCTGCACAGACTGGCATGCTTTGCTCCTGGCAGCAGCAGAGCTGGTTCCGGCAGCAGTGGAGAGGTGCCCCTCACTTAGACCAACTCGCTTTGCTCCCACTGGGAGAAGAGCTGGTTGGAGGGGCAGTGGGGAGGTGGTACCCCCTGGCTTGGTTTGGGTCACTCTGCTCCTGCTGGCTCTGGGAACAGAGCCAGTCCAAGCCTCAGTGGGAGGCTCTGTGGCTGCCAGGTGCTCTGGGGCTGCAGCACTCATTTTGCCCAGCAGAAGCAGTGAGCCTCTCCTTTCTCGAGCTCAGACATGGGCAAAATACGCTCTGCAGGCCAAATCTGGCCCACCAGGTGACTGAATCCAGCCTATGGCTGCCCCCACAGCGCTCTGGGGAAGAGCCCTAATGACCCTGCCCAGCCAGCACCTCAGGCCTCTCTCAGCCAGAGCACACATTTTCCAGCCCCCACCTCCAGACCTGGCTCCCGCTTCTGATCTTGTCCCTGTTGCACCGCACCATGCTGTCTGAGCAACTTTGGCCAGGTGATTCCTTGCCCCAGCATGCAGGGCTCTGGCTCCATATCCCAGCTGCCGTCCACCGGAAAGCAACCGGGAGCTGAAGCCAGAGCCCCACACATCCAGTGAGATGCACCAGGAGCGGTGAAATACAGTAGGAGCAGGATGAGGAGATGCTGCTGGAGGTGGGGGGAGGTGGTGCAGAACAGCACCTGGCTAGCAGCAGCCACACTAAGGTAGCTTTGCAGCCTGTTGAAAGCTACCCCTGCCATGCCACACCATGCCATGCCATTTTGGGTGGATGGGTGAGCACCTTCAACCAGGCGGCTCTTGCCCCAACGTGCAGGACTCTGGCTTTAGCTCCTGGCTACTTTCCTAGGAGCTGGAGTCAGAGCCCTGTGTACTGGGGCAGGAGCCCAGCTGAAGCTGTTCACCCAAAGTGGCGTGGTCCTGCATGGCAGGGGCAAGATCAGGAGTAGGAGATGCCATTGGAGGCAGGGGGAGTAGAGCAGCACTCAGATGAACCGTGGACACCAGCAGGACCACAGTGTGGTCTGCGGCAGCGTGAGTGGGTACAGGGCTCTGCCCCATGTGGACTGCTGTGGGGGCAATGTCAACCACACCACCTAGGCAAGCTCTGCTGCACATGGTCCCCGCTGCCCTTCCCCCCTCATTCAGAGCAAGCTCCTGGGCCCTAGTGCCCAGGCAGCCCCCCTCCCTCCACACACACACACACACACACACACACACACACACACACACACACACACACCCCCAGACGGCAGGGTCATGTGATTTTAGCCTCATCTGCCTCTCCTACTCCTGAACACTGCTCCCCACCCACCTACAGCCCCATAGAGTTTTAGTGAGTTGTTGTGGTGGGGGTAGGAGGATGCTTACCCGGCCCACAACAGCTCATTTAAACTCCCCATATGGCCCTTAGGTCCAAATAATTGACCACCCCTGCCCCCGCTCACCAAGCCTCTACTACAGGGGTGGGGAATTATTTCAGCTGAAGGGTGGCTTAACAAAGTTTGGTGAGTGATATTTTGAGGGCTGCATGGGTAGCCCTGTCACTTGACAGTTGCCCCACCCCCTGGCTGCCATCTTGGGACCAGAAGTCCTGTCCCTGACTCTTGACCTTTGCCACTGGAAGTTCCTCCCCTTGCTCCTCCAGAAATACTCGGGGGGGGGGAGTGGGGGGGAATTGCCATCTTAAAACCAGAAAAAAGCCAAATCATACACTAAAAGTCAAACAACTATAACACATTTTAATTTTATTACTGCTACTGTTGCTGCTGACACCACTGGCAGGGGCTGCGCACAATGGGAGGAGTATGGGGGGGTCCCCACACTTCCCATCCTCCTTCACGCCCACATCCTGCCCACCCAAGCTCTGAACTGCTGCCACCCCCCTGGACACAGGCTTTGCACTGCCGGCAGCCCCAAGCTCCATGCTTCTTCCCAGCTGCAGCTCCCCTTCCCTCATCCCTGCCCCCACCCCTGCTGCTTCCCTACCTGGTGCCTGGAGCGAGCAGGACACGTGGGAAGCCAAGCACATCCCCCGGCAGCTGCAGCAGTGACAGCAGCAGCCTGGCTCAGAAGCTGTGTGGTGGTCGGGCTGGGCCCTTTCACCCATGAGGGTGGGAGTGAGGTGCAGTAGGGTATGTTGGTGGAGGGGGTGTATATATGGGCACCTTGCTCCCACCCTCATGGGTGGATGGGCTGGGCAGGGTACAATTCATTGGTAGGTGCTGTGGATCAGATGAAAGTGCATGGTGGGCTGAATCTGGCCTCTAGGCCATGTTTTGCCCACCTCTGCTCTACTGGCAAGTCACAGTTGTGCAGGCAAGGGGCAGTCAAAGCAGGTTTTTTGCCTTACTGTGTGACTGCTCCACTAAGCCAAACAACATTGTTGATTAACATTTGTGAGGCTTTCAGTGTAAGGTGCAATAAGGCCCTAACAGTGTATCTCTTAAAGTCTGAGGCCATACGTTGACTCTTCGGTAGCTGAGAAATTTCTCTTCTGTGAGACGTTTTGACTTTCGGAATAAAAACTGATTCTGAAACAGAACTAAAAACTGAATTTTCAAAATTTCCCACATAAGGAAAATTCCAGACATAATTGATTTGGGATTATCCAAACATTTCAGTTAGATAAAAACATCTAATGCTGGTAATCCCAAAACTTCGTAGTGACAAAATATTAAAGCATAAAAATACAAAATAAATTAAGATTTAAGGTAACAATTTCTTTGCCTCCATTTTCCTGAGCAGGGACCAGGTCACCCCCCACACCAGGACCCCCTCAGGCCCCAGGGGAGGCGGACCCAGGTGTAGGGTCAGTGAGGACCTAGTCAGGGAACTTCTGGAGGGACTGGACGTATTTAAATCAGCTGGTCCTGACTATCTCCACCCCAGAGTGCTGAGGGAATTAGCAGAGGTCATTGCGGGACCCCTGGAATGGCTTTATGGGCACTCGTGGTGCTCTGGTGTGGTGCCAGAGGACTGGAAAAGGGCCACTGTGGTTCCCATTTTCAAAAAAAGGGAGGAAGGAGGACCCAGGAAACTATAGGCCTGTCCTGGGTAAGCTTTTTGAGAGAATTATCATGGCATATGTCGATGAGGGGCCAGCAGGGGAGATTATGCTTAGGGCAACCAACATGGGTTCATTAGAAGCAGGTCCTGTCAGACCAACCTGGTGGCCTTCTATGACCAGGTCACACAACCCTTAGATGCAGGGGTAGCAGTGGACGTAGTCTTTCTGGACTTTAGGAAGGCCTTCGACACTGTCTCTCACCCCATTCTCATTAAAAAACTAGGGGACTGTGGCATCGACACCTACACAGTCAAATGAGTCACTAGTTGGCTGGAGGGTCGCACCCAGAGAGTGGTGGTGGACGGGTCATTTTTGACTTGGAGGTATGTGGGCAGTGGGGTTCCACAGGGCACGGTGCTCGGGCCTGCACTGTTCACCATCTTCATCAGTGACTTGAACGAGGGGGTAAAAAGCACCCTGTTCAAATTCACAGATGGCACTAAGATGTGGGGGGAAGTGGGCAGGAATAGGCTGTAATTGGACCTAGACAGGTTACAGGGGTGGGCAGATGAGAACAGGATGGGTTTCAACACTGACAAGTGCAAGATGCTGCACCTGGGGAGGAAGAACCAGCAGCATACCTACAGGCTAGGGAACTCCCTCCTCATCAGTGCAGAGGCAGAAAAGGATCTTGGAGTCATTATT